GAGTGGAGAAATTCTCTGTTTCTTAGTTGGTCAAAGGACTGACCTGGTGAGAAAAGAAGTCATCTTGGAAGCTTTGAGCGACTGAGGTTTCCTGTTCACGCAGTGTTGAGGTCTTGCTTGGGGATCACAGTTTCTCTTGAGAGACTGCCGCAACGTCAGAAAAATGCCCAGCATGTCGATCAAATTTGGGGGAAGGTCGAAGTTGGGGGACTTTCGGAGACAGTTTGTATGTCATTGTATTTGCATGTTTGGCATGCCACTTGGGGGTCTCTGCGATTTGGGGTCAGGGGCGAGTACCCCTGTCATGAAAATAGCTGAGGGAAGTGTCTGGAATGATGCCCTCTGCATTGATTGGCAGGTGTCTTCTCTCGAAATCCGTGCCACCTTAAAACATCAAACATGAACAGGTGGGTGGAATTGCAACAGAACTGCACAACAGAAACGCGACTGCTGCAACGAGCACCAAGTCTTGACACTTTGTCAGGTCATGCAGGCTGTATGCAAAAGTCGTAGCTCTGATTTGCTCCTAAGGGGGGAGAAAAAAAGCTGAAGCCAGCTTGGTGGTTGCGCCTGAACGAGCTGGAAGCCAAAGAGAAAGGGAAACCCTGTGGGCCATAGGGGTCAAACATTGATCCTCAAAATGCAAAATGGGTACGAAACAAGCATTCGGATGGGCGTCAGCCACCTTGACAGGCAATTGCGGGCTACGCTCTTCTTCCTAAATCTCCTCCCCTCCCCCCAAAAATAATAGGGCATAATTGCGGCATAACAGTCAGCCTTCTGATGCGAGGTTGGCTCATGCCACCTTGCCACTGCTTCAAGGCAACCAGAGCAGACAGGCGCACATTGTTTTGGTCATTTTACCTCGCAACTGTCTGTGGTGAGCACATAACTCGTAACATTATGTTCACAAAGCCTCAGCTCAGTCCTCATCTTCGGACACAGCCCGCTCCCCTGCGCTAAGCATCTTCTTGGCGCGCTCCTCCACCTCCTTTGCGGCTTCGTCCGCATCCTTCCTCGGTTCGCCATCCTCGTCCTTATCCTGTGGCTCCTGTGGCTCCTGTGGCTCCTGTGGCTCCTGGGTCCATTCTATCCTGCAGGTCAATGCCTCGCTGGGCTTCACCGGCGTGTTGCTGGTGAATCGATCCATCCGCTTTTTCCTCTTCTCCAACTCTTCAGGGGACTCCTCCGGAACGCCCTCCAGGGACGCCCCCTCCTTGCCAGCACCTCTCTCCTGCCAGCCCTTGCCGCTGCCCTTCCAAGAGTTCCAGCCCTTGCCGTTGCCCTGCCAGGAGTTGCCCCAGCTTCCCGAGCCCCACGAGCCCCAGCCGGAGTTGCTCTTCCAGTTACCCCCGTTCCAGCTCGAGTTCCAACTTTTGCCCCAGTCTTTGTCCTCCTTCTCCTCCTTCTCCTCCTTCTCCTCCTTCTTCTCCTTCTTTGGCGCCTCCTCCTCGTCATCCGACCAGGCTCTCAGCCTCTTCTCCTTCGGCTCTTCCTTCCACTTACCCCACTTTCCATAGCCGTAGCCAGAGTCAGTCTTCCACTTCTTCTTGAAGGCGTCGCCCAGGCCTAGCAGCTGATGCCATGCAGAACGCCCTGCGGGTTTTAGCCCCAGTGCATTGGAAGTGCATTTATCCCTGCGCAGCCAAGATGCTGCATGCTTCCACCAAGCTCCTTCAATGTCGCAACATTGATCAATGCTTCCTCAGCACGTTTGTTGGGTGAAGTGCTTGCGGCAAGTTTTGTCAGTTGTTACCTACTTGCCCTTCTTTGGCAAGCTTCCGACCCGCTGGCAGCGCGTAACAAACTCATAATCGACGCCACACCCATTCTGGCCCTCTTCCTATTGCAACACTTCCTGGACAAACACCACACAGGTCAAGCATTCAGCAGGGGCTCACCACCTCACTCAACAACTAGACCAGCCTTGCGAACCAAGGTAACGTCTCAATGCTGGGCAAACAAAGAACCGCCTCAAGCATGAAGCATCTGACATTAGCAAGGCTTCAAACATGCTTTGGCTCTGTCGCTCCAGGGTAGCAGGGGCCACCAAGGTGTCTGCCAACCTGCCCCATTCGGGTCCGGCCTGTGGCGTTGGGATCCGTGACGGGCGGCTTGGCCTTCCTGGCGCCCTTGGGGGGCCAGGTCTCCTCGCAGCGCTTCCCATGCTTCGGCTCCTCCTGGGGCTCCGCGTAGTAGGCGGAGGAGCACTTGCCGCAGCAGAAGAACTCGCTGACCTGAAAAGCTTGCAGAACACCCTGCTATGTGTTGCCATGGCCTTTCTGGGATGAAAAGCGTGACAAAGAACAGGCCCACATACTGTCACGGTTTCGTACGCCAATTGCATGGTCGCTCGCCCACGTATCGGACATACAAAGGGCAACACCGATGTGGCGGAAGACAAGGCTAAGAATACCGCGATTGCTTGCCAAGAGCTCATTTGAAGGCCGATGTGATTGCACACCGGCAAGTCAGAACGCCCTGTTGAAAGCCAGATCCCTTCAAAACCAATTCCGTGGGAAGAGGAAAAAAGCAACCGGCCTTGGCATCAGAATTCACCTGGTATCTGCAGCTGGGATGTCCGCAAACAAGTGGGCCGCTGGGCTTTGGTGACCTGCGCCTTTCCCGCACGGGGGAGTCTTTGGCCACCTTGGCCTTGTCGGGCGTGTCCTTGCCTGAGCTGCACGGCAGCATCAGACTGGCGCCACCAAAAAAAGGAAACATATACCTACCACTCATGACCACTTCCCATTGAAAACCAACAAGGATACATGGAAGTTGCCTCCTTAGAAGCAGCAGTTTCCTGACATGGCTGCCCATGTAGCGGCTTTGCACAGCAAAGCACTGCACAGGCATTAGCTGCCTTGCTTTTCTCGACTCCGGTGAAACGAAATGTGGGCCATAAGGGCATCATGATATTCAAAAGGATTTGTTTGACCGTGCTTACTTGCGCATCGTACCCCTTGAGCTAAGCTCAGGGAACCTTCTAAATCACGTCCTGAAGCGTGCCCCCTGCAGCTCAGCTGCTGGCTTTCTTGACAGCTGCCAGGGCCCCCAGAAAGCTGCGCGCTTGAGGCCGGGGCTTCGGGGATGGATTTCTTAAGGATCTCGAAGGAGATCGCTTTCTCTCCCGAGCTGAGACCGATCTCTTCCTCGGCGTCGACTGGGGCTTCTTTCTAGAGGGCGAGCGCTTCCTGGAGGGCGAGCGCTTCCTGGAGGGCGACCTCTTCTTGGACACCGTCCTGCCAGTTGCCCGCTTCACGCCCTTGTCCTCTTTCTTCGGGTCCGCCTTTGGCTTCTTCTTTTTCGGCTCCTCCTTCTTCACTTCACTCTTCTTCGCCTTGGGCGGGGGGCTGGGGCTGGGCTTGCGGGGGCTTGGGCTCTTCTTGGCAACGGCCTTTTTCGCCTTGGTCTTGGCTTTCGGCTTTGCCTTCGATGACGAGCTATAGCTCGAGTATGAGCTCGAGCTCCGCTTACGCTTAGCCATGGGAGGAAGCAACGCTTCAACTTGAGCCTTCGCACAGCAAACATGCCCAACATGCCTTAAACAAAGCAGGGCAGCGAGCAAATCAAGATGAGTGGTCCAACGTCATTCGTGGCTTGGACATGAGCAACACTAGGTGTACCATTGTTTGGTTAAATGAAGCGCACAAAACTACTTCCCAGGTGGCAACTCATCACAACTGTCAGTCTTTCTTGGGCCGCAGCGGATGCGAGCACCATCTCTCAACGCCCGTGTGGACTGCCCCAAGCCGCCTGCAGCTCCTTCTCTTCGATCTCATGGACAGGCATGGCGGCAGCATAGGAAATGGAAGGTGCCTGCTGGAGTTGTGAGACTGGGCTGACAGGATGGATTCCCAGTCCGCCCAAATCTTACCGGACCCAGCCACACCATAGATGCTGTGGTTCTGGATTCAAGTGGATTGTTTGTATTTGAAAGGGTCCAATTGCAGGGTGCCAACATGGTCCACCCCTCTTGATGCAGAGTCCCAAGGTGCCAGCTGCCATTGACTCTGAGATACGACAGAAAGGGCGGCGTGCTCAGATCACCGTTGCTGATGCCTCATAATGCACTTTCACCCTTCTCCATCACAGAATTGAGGTCACCTGTAGAGATGCCCGATTGTCCAACGCCAATCCAAGCATGAGCTTCTACTGCAGTGCTCAGGTGTCCAACGAATCAGCTTGAGCAGTCGCAGGTGCGGAAGGCGGTTGAACAAAGGAAATTGGCCCGTTGCCTGATGAATGCACTATTCAATATCCTGAGTACATTTCGAAATCCGGCTTCAGACATCGCCTAATTTCCCCATGCATGTTGCCTCCGCCCCTGCAAAGCTAGCTCCAAAGCGGGGAGGAGCAACAAGACTGCAAAAAGGATTTGCGGTGGCAACACATTCGTTCCTGGCCTTCATAGCCTTACCAAACAATGGTGCAACGCGCAGGGCCCCACTCCGGGTCCATGGTAATCAGTAATTAGTTAGTAATTAGCAGCGGTGAGCCGCTGTTGAAATGTGGTGGTTCGAGCGTAGCATTTTTGGGGTTGTGTGCGCTTTTTGCCGTGGATCATGCTGTCGCACGTGCCTGCCTGCTTCCACGCTACATGGGCGGATCCGCGAAAGTATTCTCCCGGAACCCTTTCCATCCCGGGACTTCCGAAATTTCTCTGGCAGGCTGCGTCAAGGAATCCCCAGCTAAGACTATGTGAACTGCTTGATTTGTTCACTGACGCTACTGTTCAACCGCCCCCCCCCTCAGCGCCACATTCAACAGATTCATGTAAATACAGCTCGTGCTTCCGCGCTGGAATGAGGGCTGCGAGCCTGTCTTTTTGTACATGTTACACGGCTGGCCGAGACGCCGAGCCTCCATGGAACAATCTTCACATCTCCGTTCTAATGACTTGCATGTGATGTGCCAAAATTGAAGCTTCCAGGTTTGGAGAAGTCTCTCCCTCGTCGCACCCAAACACAAACATAGAGAAACACACAAACAAACAAACAACCAACCAAACAATCAATGAATCAAACAAACAAAAAACAGAGAAACACACACACACACACACAAACACAAGCACACACACGCAAACACAAAAACACAAAAACACAAACAAAAACACACACACCAAAAAAAAAAACAAAAAAACGGGAAAAACACAAAAGCACAAAACACAAAAGCACAAAACACAAAAGCACAAAAACACAAAAGACACACACACACACACGCACACGCACACGCACACGCACGCCCACACACACACACACACACGCACGCACGCACGCACGCACGCACACACGCACACACACACGCACACACGCACACACACACACACACACACACACACACACACACACACACACACACACACACACACACACACACACACACACACACACACACACACACACACGCACACACACACACAAACACAAACACAAACACAAACACAAACATAAGCCTGCCACAAACTCTGGTGCATAACCCTCGGCTCCTGGCTCCTGTTTGAAAAGAGTGGGTCCATTCCTCGACGTTTAAGGTCAAACTTGTGATGACCTCAAAGAAGCGAGCCCATGCAGCTACCAGCATGACTTCTTGCCAAAGATGGCAGGGCCATGACTCTCGGAGGCTGTGGTGCCTTTCACGGCTCCACTCCTCCGCGATTTTCAGATCACCCTTGCCTGTCATGCACGGTACTGCAAGCCCGGCGGCTTGCCCAATGCCAACTGTCCGAAAACTGCCCGACACGCAGTAATCATGTGCTGCCTGAATGTGAGCTGCTCCCTCTTGGCCACCGTTGTCCTGCAGTACCAGGGCTGCCTTTCGGAGCAATTACGGCCTGCTCAAACCCGCCAGCGCCAAACCCAAGCAAACCGTGCGTGTTATGTCCAACCATTGGCAGGGATGGCCTGTTTCTCTTGCCTTTGGCATCTTTGGCCTCATCTTTGAAGCTTTGGGAAGCCGCAATTCGACGGGCTCCTCACGGCCGGCCCGTACACTCACGAACAGGCAGAACGGCCGCAGCGGAGACAGTTGCCAACTCCCCGACACAACGAGTCCAAACCAAAACTGCAGACAGTCATGCCTCCCAGAAAGATTCCAACAGATCTGAAGTTTGAGAACCCGGCAACAGTAAAAGTGAGAATAAGCATTGAAGGAGGCAGCGTGACTCCCTGGCTGGCCAACGAATCAACCATGTCAACTAAAGTTGCTTTTAGGTTGGATTTGGTTGGCGCTCTCCACAACGTTGGCAAGCTAGACTTTCCGCTGACAGCCTCCATCCTAAACAATTTAGCACGCGGCAGGAGGTGGTGCGTGGCAGCTGCTGGCGTCCTTGCGCCAGCGCGCAGATCGCGGTGGGATGCCTTTGAACGACAGAACAAAAATCAACGACGAGTGCCCGGTTGGGCAACCTGCGAAGAGTCTGCACAAAAAGCTGGCAGCACCTTCCATGCTGTCAGACATGCATATCCACAATGGACAGTGCTGCTGGTGCACCCCGCTGCATGCAGCCAAGGCCAGCCAGCACATTATTTGCACCGTTCAGCGGCGGCGGCCCACTTCAAATCAATCAGCCACACTTGATCCCGTCTATATCACCTCTGCCGGATGCATCTGTCACCAAGCCTTTGGATCCACACGAGTCATTCGGCATGCATCACTGCAAATACCTTCACACATCCACATGGAGTCAAGTAGATGTCTATGAACGCGTTCGCCCCTTACCAAGTGCCCTCAAATTGGGCTTCACTCAATGCCCTGAATAAAGTTGGTTGTTTCCTGGGAGGGCAATCAAAAACAGTAAAATAATTCTAATGCATAGGGACACATTATGGGAAGGGGACAAGAAGCTAGTGTGCCAAGCACTGTTAAACACACTCTCCATGAGAGCTCCTTGATTTGTTGGAGGGGTGCTAACAGCCATGAAGCACAGGCTTGGGGGCAGAAGGCATAGGCCTCGTGCTTGAACGCACTGAAGCAAGCTGGCCCAGATTTGTCTGCGTGAGCCCAACTCTCAACTACATCCCCAAAATCGCCTCATCTCCGCTCCGAAGAACATCAGGTTGCCCGTGCAAAATGTCACTGGCGCCGCTTGTCGCATGCACGTAATCGAATTCGCCCGAGGCGCTCGCTGCCGGGCTGCGCTTTGTGCACAGCTCGGATCTACGGCTCCTCTGGGCCCATAGGTTCCACCTGAGCGCGGAATGGCCATGAATGGCCATGGCAGGCCCATGATTCAATGCTTACGTCTGCATTGTAAAGCTCTTTCTTTCTTTTTTGCAGGCCACCAGCATCCCTGCAACACAAAGAGTGCTCGCCAACCTTCTGCCGCAACACCTTTGATTGAATCACTCCGCCAAGCCGTTCTAAGACTAAGGTCGGGGACTCGCAAAAGGCCTGCCAAGCTTGTGCAAGTTGCCAATAAGTTCCCACAAAACACCTGGCATATGCTAAGATCTGTGTGCCAATGCCCAGCTGCCAAATTCCGTGAGGGGAGGCAATTGTAAAACCTGGGTAAGTTGTACTTATCAATGGCAAGGAACCGAGTCTGCCGACCCCTGATTCACAAACGAAGGGCACCTTAGTGATTGACACACAGAATTAATTTCCGGGCTTCAAAATTAGAGATCTGATGGATGTCTTCTCAGAAGGAAAAGAAGCCTTTCAACACACGCCGGGCTGCCAATGCGGAGGAGAGGAAGTCCACAAGATTGTTGGAGCCAGCCAGCTCCTCAAGCAACTGAGCAGCTTGTATTGCCTCAAGGTCCTAGCCCCACAGCTGAAAATGGGCTTCCAACAGCGTAGTAAGCCATGAGGGAGGGCCTCCTTGCTGACCGGAAGCCCCAAACTGGTTGATTTGAATACGGCGCCTCCTCTGCGGGGTTGGCAGCCTTTCTTGAGCCCTTTTTCCAGTCAAGGCCCCTTCCGCCTCTTCCAAAGCTACTTCAGGCCCTCTTACCTAGCCCCACAACCTGTGGGCTCCCTTCAAGTTGGGTCCCCTTTGGGTGAGCCACCTCCCTTCCTGTGAAACCGAAGGTGGGGCGTTCCTGTTTGTGGGGACACCCTGCCTGCCACAGGGAACCATCCTCTGATCGCTACCTAGCGGCTGCCTGTGCCTGCGCAATCTTGGACGCCTGCACCTGCCTGCCGCGCAAAGCCGATCGATCAACCCCCGTGAAAAAAGAGCAGCTTGAAAGGAACAACCGCAAAAATACAAAACGCATTGCAAAGTGTTCTGACTTCAGCAGTTAGTTGTGTGTCAGTCGGTGACTTGAAACATACTTGGATGATTTCAAGTGAGCATCCTTCAGGGGTGTTCATCAGTGGGCCAGGTGAAAGGCCGAAAGCTGCCAAGGATGAACGCATGCTCAAAAGAGCACCCCACATGTTTGTGGAATGAGGCTCCATGGTGCGACTGCTTGATACTCCATCACGGCTGCCAAGCTTTTGAGTAATTCCTGAACTATTGAATAAATAGTGAATTACTTTCCACGAGCTAGTGGAAGGTGTTTGACAGCCCCCGGCGCTTGGCGCCTTTCTGGGTGCTTCAAGCCAGGCTTTTAAAGCCAACTTTTGTGGTTTGATTGAACAAGCGCAGCGAGGGGTAAACTTTTAATGGTGCAAACGTCAAGGCCTATGTAGGCCTTCTCCCGACTGGCTGGGCAAATGAAATAACTCTGCAACAAACCCTGCTCAGGCTACACAATGAACTCTACGGAACAAACCTCGTGCGGGTTGGCCCCAGCCGCAGCCCCGAGCCCGCCTGTGCCAATCCACAAAGATCCGGGAGAGCATTGCCTGCACGATGCGCGTGCAATTCTAGATGCTTTGCATGGTAGCCCGGCCAGACCAAACAAGTGGCTAACCCAATTGGCCAACGGCTTTTGGGCAGTCGCGGAAACATCATTGGTAGGGTGCGCCCGCGCGTGCCGCACAGCTCCGTTTTGGGCGAGCTCGGTGCTCTCTGAGTGTTGCCAGCCTTTTGCCCCGCCTTTCGGTCTTGCGCCTCGAATGCCTCCATCACCGACTCCCAGTCCGAGTACGAGCTGCGGCGGCCTGTACGGCTCTCTGAAGTGAACCCTTCAGCCTTGTTGGTTCCCTTCTGGATTCCCTTAAGCATCTAACAAAGGGGGCCCCCATCATTTCAACATTCCCCCCACCGGCACCGGCCAGATGCATTTCGAATGGGTATCGCCCTAGTCCTGTGGACTTGCGTCTTGCAAGAGTGGACCGAGAGATTTGTCAAATAACATCGGCAACTTTTTGCCAGGTGGCTCAGCTGCTGGCTAGCCAGACCTTCGGTTTGGCAAGGCGCACGCTGATATGCGGTTTGGCAGTCAATTTGGAGGGCTAATGCTGCCAAGAAACCAAATGACGCAAAGGCCCGTGATGGCTCTACAAACAAGGCATCAACATGATCCTTTGGAGGCCGGTCAGAGGGGTCACCAAGGCAGCACAACATGAAGGCAGGGTCTCGAAAAAGAGGCCTCGTGATTGATCTTCACCAACTTGCCCAAAAAAACAATCAGAAGGATTTGCAAAGCCATGGCTCTTATCTCTTTCACAGCCGGCCGAAGGAGCCTGCTTCACTGCTTCACTGCTTCACTGCTTGGCTCCCACCCAGGACATGTGACCTATCACAGCTCCTTCCGATTTCAGATAAGTCCATTTGCCAAGCCCACATTTGCGCGTTGACCAAGCCATTAAAAAAAATGAAAAAAAATAAAACAGAAACCAAGGCAGATAAGTGTGGTCCCAATCCGAATCCGCAACAGTGAGACACAAGGGAAAGATCTCGATATTTCTGGAAGTGTACTGAGTTTCAACCCAGATCTCGCAAACATCTATATATCTCAATTTGTTGTTTGAAAATATGCAAATGGTGGCTTCACCTTTGGTTTCCCTTTGAAGCAGTGGCACAAAGGGTACGTACCGGGCACTCTCAAAGAGGGATTGGCCGAGCCTGTGGAGCACATCGAGGAGTTGGCCAGGCTGCGGATGCTCTCGATGCGGGTGGTGGCTGTGAAAATGGTGCCCGTGGTGCCTCAAAGGCAGGGCTGGAAGGGCTCCCGGTGGCTCATGGGATCATCGGGACTTGGAGGAAACTTCGGGGCAGGCTGCTGGGGCGGGGATGGATCCGATGAGTATGTCCAAGCCTTTAAACATCACAACCGCACTGAATTCCCAGGCCAGGCCCCCACAAGCAGACACACACACACACAAACACACACACGTGACATAGTCCAACTATGGTGATGACAAAGGAAGGCTCTGCCAGTCTCAGCTTCATTGGGAACACCAAAGCTGCCGAAGGGGTCTTTACGAGGGGAAAGCCCTCTTACACTGGGTACATGTGGCTGCCAGGGTGGGTGGGAACAAGCGAAGGCACTCTGCGCATCTCGAAGCGTAGAGTCTTTCTCGGTGCATTCTACACAGTACCACAAGGAGGCTGTAGACAAAGCTGCTTCGTCACAGAACACTTCAAATTAAGACTCGATGCTGGCTGGCAGTTTTACCGATGTCCGTTTTCGAACGTAGCGTTGGTGAATGTCATGACTCTTGGCAAACAAAGATTTCTTTGCACGGCACCTTGCCCTGCAGTTCTTAGCGTGTCCGGCAGAAGCTAGAGCTGGACGTTTGAAAAAAATGCTCGCTTTGAGGGCTCCCATGGTCATGTGCATTCGTGCGCTTTCACAGTGGAGCGGAAGTAATCCAGCACCGCCCAAGGCCCAAGCCAATCTATGTGGTTGGGGTGCCATGGACTCTTAGAGGCTAGTGTTCGGACACCAAAGCCCAAACTGACAAAGTCCAGATGCCTTAGAGACAGCTGCAAACCTGCCGGTGCCCCCTGCAAGATGAAAACATTGCTGCAACAAGCCCGACATCTGCCTACAGCCCAAGAACCCACCAGCCCGTGCAACATGCTTCGCAGGCGCTGAACTTCCGCGCCGGCTTGATGAAGCTGGGCCCCAGCCGGGGGAAGACCTAGGCTCAAGGCCGGAAACTGCGGGTGGTGCTCGCAAAAATCCTGAGAGGCAATCCTTCGGCATGAGCGAGGTTTCAAATGACACAGTTCTATCTGTTGGGGGCCGTTAGGCGGCCTGCGCGAGAGTGCAAGGGTCCGAAGGTGCCTGTTTTGAGAGCCTTTTGCACTGGGTCATTGAATAGCCTTGGTTGGGCCACAGATATCGACACATTCCCGAGCCCGACCTGCTTAATGTACCACTAAATCACGAAAAACTAATGCTCAGACATCTACAAGTTGTGTCCTTGTACCCTAGCTCGGAAATAAGAAGTCCCCTGCAACACGTGGAAAGATCCTTTCATGCTTAGGTGACACCAGTGACCCTTAAGATCTTTTCTTTCGGCTGGTCTTGGATCGATGGCCACCTGCTGTTTAGTTTCATCTCTGTGTGGCCGGACTGGCTGCTCATAACTCTCGTAGCCATCGTCATAGTTAGTGGACTCACGGCCGCCAACGGTGCCAAACCTCAGCTTCAGCTCTTCCATGCTGGGCCTATGACTAGCCTCTACTGTTCTTGTATGACACATGTTTGCTGCATTGGCCTTTGGCTCGGCAACTCGTCGCAGGGTCTGTCAGATGCATCATGAGTGCCGACCCGAAGGGCAAGCTGTCCAAAAAATGATATGCGCTTTTCACTGCGTAACATCTTGCGGCTTTCCACCAAGAAGCGCTTTCATTTTGCGGACAGTCTCTGGGTCACGGTTGTTCAGGAAACCGATGGTGGATGTGACTGCCACCGTCAGCAACACGGTGAGCAGAATCGACCTCACACACACACACAAGGTGCATTCCGCACGTTCGTGTGGCACCAAAGGCATCCGTGCTGGCCGTGTTGCAAGAAACGCACCTTTTGCACTTTGCAACTTGGAACTGCTGCATGCATTGATGCGCTGGTCTCAGCTGGGCCTGTCACGGGCCCACGGGATTGCTGGCTGGACAAAAATAGATGCCAAAGAAAGAACCCTCATCACGGGCCGGGTGATACACAAGCTCATTGTAATTTGATCAATCGTGCTTCAGAGCAGCCTGCCAGCTTGGAAAACTGCAGCGCTGCCCTAGCACGAATCTGCATACTTCGATGCAGCAATGGTCAGATGGTTCTCTTGGTCAGCTGCCTCACCTGAGGGCCAGGGAAACTTGGTCATGGGTTTACATACTCGTTTGCTCGGAGGGCACCCGGTTCCCAAAAGGAGATTTTCAAACAGAATCTAGTTTGTTTGTGGGCTCCATACTAATGAGTGTGGTGGCTTGAGTGACTGATTCGCTGAGTGGGCACATCTTTTTCATACTCTGCCGCAAAGTCTGTTGGGCATCACCTCCGCTTGTGACAATGCTTGAAGTGAAAATATCCTACCTCTACAACAATGCAATACACTTAGACAAATTACTTAAGCATCAAATACATGCATACTTGTACAACCATATTTTTGGGGGAGTGTGTGTATGCACGGAATTACGTGAACCTTATACTTATGTCATGCTCCACCAACAACCTGCAACATTCGTCATTCTAGCAATGTAGTGCTTCCAATGTTCGATTGGCACCCGTGGATGAGCATTTCCCCCACCTCCTGAGTTGACTTTACCCTTCAAACTGCAGATTCCCATCATGGAAGCGTGGATCCGCACCGCAACCCCGCCTCTTCGACGCGTCAAAATCACCACGAATTTGGTGTTCAATGCTGCAGTGCCCGGCCAGCTCGATGATAGCACCCTTCCCACCGCATGAGCTGGGCCACACAATGATGCCTAGGCTAGGCCCCAGCCGATTCAAAAATGCTTTATGGCCCGTGTGCCTTTGTCTCAACTGCATCGCTTTTTTGTTTGGTGCAAAGCACGCTTTCAGTCATACATCTCTCACCTGCCCCACAGACTTGAGCCGTGACCGAAGGTTCAACACTGGAGGCTTTTCGCTGGGCTTGTGCTTTCAGCTGTCACTTCTTTCGGCTGGGGCGCTCTGATGAGAGATGTCGCCCTGCTTCATGACCTCCGTAAAGACGTAGGGATAGCCCGAGAAGAAGGCTGCCTTATCCAAAGGGCCGATCGCGAGCACCCGTAACGGATACATGTTGAACAGCTGGAACAGCTGGAACAGCACCGTTACCAGGTGATTTGGAGGAACCCCGTGTAAAGCAGGCGGTGTTTGGATGCATCCATTCAGGAAGCCTTATCATACTCCTTATTGTTCAAACATCGGCTCATTTGCTTTGTCTCCAAATGGTGCAACCTCCAGATGTCCAACAGTTTGGCTTCCCTTTGAAGAAACAACAAATCATCAAACAGGGTACCCTACAAAAAGGACACACACCCGTAGTCCATCGTCCTTAGACATCAACAGCCCTCACCCCCACTTTGTCCCCACGGCCTTGCCGTGGCAAGGGAGATGACCGTGCTGCCACTCCCCGTCTTTTCCACACGTCATTTTCTCCACCCTCGCCTTGAGGTTTTCTGCGTAGCCTCACAGCCGTACGGATTTCTCCGTCAAATATCACCAATTGTTTTGCAGCAACTTGCCAACAACCAGCACTTCCCCAACAGTCATCCAAAACAGAGTGGAGGCACCGTTGGGGGGCTGGAAAAGTCGGTGTTTTTTCGTACAAGTGAGCAAACAAATGAGAATTCATCACTGAGCGGCTCCCCTGATATCTAAAGAAGTGGATGTGGAACTGCTCGACCGTTCGATGGTGCATGGGGTTCACGATGAGGCAACATTCGGGTCCGCCACAGCGCTTCTTTGCTGCATACATCCCCGCATCATAGTACTTCTTGTTGTCTTCGGTCACAACCTCCGCCGCAGTTTGGCATGAAACGCGAGCGTGGCAAAGGTCACACGACAAGGCAGCAATGGGGCACTGGGTGTGGCCAGCCCGGCTGGGCTGGTCCATTGACATGTTTGCAAAACATGAGAAGCCCAAGTATTCGGACAAAGCAATATGAGGTCATGTGAACACTTAGCCATGTAATGGTCAATCATCACAAAGAAGACATCTCTCTCTCCCTCTCTCTTTCAGTCCGTGGATGCAATCGAAGCAATGCCTTGCTGTGGCTTTGGACAAGCCGTATTTTGGTTAAGTGAAAGGGTGGCCCAAGGAAAAGTAAAGGTCTGCCGGTATTTGTTGCTGACATGAACTGCGATGTGTTTCACCCAAAGCACCAAGACTGATGGCATTGACGCATACGCACTCACACTTGAAAGATCTGTAAAAACCCAACTGCGCCGACCTGAGCCAATGGTACCCCCCAACAAGATTCGAGGACACATATTTTGCTGAGTCATTTCCCTCACGAGCTCGTCTCCAGATGTGCCGTGTCCGGGTTTGATGCTAGCCTACTTCCTTGTCCGAACCATCGGAAACAAGGGCCTCATTCCCATGTTGAGTTTGCCCAGCCCTTCCCCCCATGTTGGACACTTAGTCTCAAAGATACCTTGCAGGCATTGGCACGATTCTGGGCGCTGCCAAACCTCCTTTCAGAACCTCCTCCGCTTCCCTCCCCCTGGCCAGTGGCCCCAGCCTCCAGGCCGTCCCCGCAGCCCCAGAGCTTGTCACCGCCCAGCCACCAGCCGCAGCTCCCCAAGGTGGCGTTGGACTCATCCGAGTCCGGGGCCGTGCGCAGCTGCAGAGCGTTCAGGGCACACTGCTCACCTGAACAAGAAACAAAGACCCCGGGCCGGGGAAGCCAAAGAACATAAGTTGGAAACCAAGGTAAACTGATGCTGACAGTTATTGCCAACTTGGGACGGAAAAAGATTTGGGTCGAAAAGTCCGCTGGCTGAACAAACAAGCTGAGAAATAAGCTTTCCCACGACATGTCCAAGTGGACAAATCCCAAGATAGGCTTGATGTTTGGGCGCCGTGCCTGCGCACTCGTCGTCATCGAGCATAGGTGCTGCCAGCTCATCGGCTGACACCAAAGCGATACAGAAAGCAGCAAGCTTCAGCATGGCGTTAACTGGCAGGGATGCGAAAGGAGCGCTTTATGCGGGCTAGCTGTGGGCCGAGGGGCAGCAACGAAGCTCAAGGAGTTTTTGTTGATGCCGCAAACTGTTCCCGTTGTTGGTCTCACGATTGTCTCATACTGTGGCCCCTGACACACACACACACACCCACCCTGTCTCTCTCTCTCTCTCTCTCTCTCTCTCTCTGCAGCTAGGCTGGCACCAGCAGGCTACGTTTCATCGAAGCTTGAATCTCGCCCATCAAGAAAATTAGCAGGGAGCTCAATGCACATCACATAACTCCGAGACCAGCACCCATTAATAGCCACGTGTCAGGGTAAGCAACACACCCCGGTCACAGTAGGAGGGCCCCAAGGTCACTGTGACGAGCGGTTGAGATGGCTGCCTGAAGCGAGGCCAAGTTCAAGAAAAGCTACATTTCCGTTTCCTAGGCAAGATGCTGCTTGCAACTTCCAATTTCAAACCAGTAACGTGAACCACAAATTCCAAAAGCACAATCGATGAGGCAACATGTCCCCTGCACAGTGCTAGCGATGAAAGCACCGGAAATGGGCCAAACTGCAAAAGAGTGGGTTGGCTTCGATGGCGCAACAAGAAAGGCACCAGTTCATTCCCCCGCTGGATCTTAGCTGATTCCTATGTTCAACTCTATCGCCCTGGGCCCGGCCCACACAAAGACGACATCTCAGACCCCAGCCCCCAAACTGGCAGAAGCCCTGGCAAGAAGTACCCGCACACCTGGCTCGCCTCAGCGATGCGCATTTCGCTTCCTGGCCCTCTTGTTGTGCGCGTGCGCGTGCGTGTGCGTGTGCGTCTGCGTGTGTCGTGTGCGCGTGCGTGTGCGTGTGTCGTGTGTCGTGTGCGTGTGTCGTGTGCGTGTGTCGTGTGGGTGTGGCGTGTGGCGTGTGGCGTGTGGCGTGTGGCGTGTGGCGTGTGGCGTGTGGCGTGTGGCGTGTGGCGTGTGGCGTGTGGCGTGTGGCGTGTGGCGTGTGGCGTGTACGTGTGTCGTGTGCGTGTGCGTGTGGGTGTGGGTGTGGATGTGGGTGTGGGGGTGTTGGTCTGGGTGTGGGTGTGGGTGTGTGTGTGTGTGTGTGTGTTGTGAGCTGTGCTCAGTCTTGCTTCCCCTATGCTCATTACCTGTTTGTGCTGCCTCTTTTATCTTGTGAGGTCGTTGCCACCCTCACATGCATGGCATGCCCACTTCCAGCAGCATAATCCAAGCATCATACTGGTGCCGCATTGATGTGCTACTTCAAGAAACATGCGGCATCACATGGTCGTGCTTGCTTCAAAAGCTGGCTGAGCTTAAAGTCATGCGAACGACGTCCAGACGATGGTCCCAACTGAAGTCTTGATGCACCGCGCAGGGCCCGACAAGGCGCTACCTCTCACGTTGCCTCGAAGTAGTGTTTTCCCTTTTTTTCGGTTTTCGGCGTGAAACCGTGATGACCCACGCCGAGGCCACCATCATAAACCATGCATACTTGACAAACAAGGTGACCGCACCCACCATTCCCAGGTTGGAAAGACAAACAGGCGGCTTGCCGTGATTGGCCCCTGATCGTGAGACCATGCCATCTTCCTCAGGACTTCCGCACTGATCAGTCAAGCCACACCCGCGAATGCATACAGGAACTTGCCAAGGTGGTTGTGGAACTTGGCAACATCCTCACTGGATCCAGCCGTGAGTCCTACGGACAGCACAGCAATTGTGCTCGAGCAGGGGCATGGTGTTTGCCGGTGAGAAGCAACAGCGATTCCCTCTGAGCCCAACTCACCCTGACATGCCAGCCTTCATCTCAACCTCCAAGTTGGCTGCATCTTGGGTCCTGCAAACATCTTGGCAGCACCAGAGAACGCCATGATGAACAGCATGGCCAAGGAGGCCTCAGCTCATTCTGTCTAGAAAGTGCCTGCACAAGCAAAGGATTGAGCCTGTGGAAATTGCAAGAACTGGCGATGCGCCAGCTGAGCAATGGCAAATGCTGCAGGAGAATAAAGGCAATCAATGGCAATCAGCTCAAGGCTTCTTTTCAACATGGGCTCATTGGAGTGTGTCAATTCCGCGCTCGAGCGTGCCGGGCATAAACATACACGGAACCCAGGGACTGTCAGTCGCCAAGCCGCATAGCCCGTCCAAATATGCAGCTTCCTCCAGGGTTGCCACGTTTGCCGACCCTCCACCCAAAAAGCATGCTGACTGGGTGCTGTGACAGCTATGCAACCCGTTGCCGTATCTTCATGCTTGGAGTGCAGCTCCTTACGCTGGCGCACGCAGGCTAACCATACTTCACTATCAAGTACGGCCCGTTCAGCACCCAAACTAGATTGCAGCGCACATTAGAGAAAAAAGCTGCGGGCTCGTTAGACGGCGGGAAGCTCAAAGCACGAGCGAGGGCCTGTACTGAAAGGCACGGCAGTTGGAAGATTCAGCAAAATGTCTGACACGAACTTGAAAATTATGTCACTCGCTTGTGGGCACTTTCCCAACAAATCCCCGTCGCTTCCCCCAATCACTCATGCACAGCCCTGTCCCCAGCAGGCTGCTGTTCAGGCCCATCTGGTCTGTCTCGGTACTCAGGTGGCGCCTCGGGTGCGAATGGCCCAGAATTGGGAAGGAGCGCTGGGTCACAGGCGTCTAGCAGGGGGCAGCTGACAGCATTACGTGCACAGCCAGCCCAGCTCTTGAGCTGTGGGCAACACGCCTGTGAAAACATCTTTGCAGTCAAGGCACGCGTACATGCTGAGGAATCCGCCAATTGAAAACAGCAGCACCTCGCGCATTCATGAGCCTACTGCTTTGAGCTATGATGAACTGGTGACTCAATAGATGAGCACGTGAACCTGCTCACTGTTAACATGGCAAACCAGTAGCAAAGGTAATGTCATGAAAGGGTGACACCACTCCGTCCCCTGCAGCTCCGACCAAGTTTGTATCGCTCATGAGTCTCCGCGAGGTTTAGGCGGATGTCACCTGCGAACACGTCGGCGAAGTCTGCATAGAACTACGCAACAAACATCCAGCGATTCCTGGACAAGCTGCAAAGAATTGAGTCCCAACATTGTCCTAGACAGACCAGACCAGCACACCAATCACCCAGACGCATTCCAATCATTCCAGCCTTCCCCACGCAGCCCCCCCGTAGCCCTAAGGCCGAGGTGCCAATCCGTTGAGGCTGGCGTGGGAGAAGTGCCGCACCAAGGGGCCCCCGGAGAGGCCCGGCAGCACCCGCTTGGGGGAGGCGTAGCTGGCCAGTGACGCGGTCCTCATGCGGATTCCACATGCGGAGGAAGATGAAAACTGGTTGAATGGCTGTGATTGGTAGAATATGCCTAACTGGACAAAGCTAAAGAATATGCTTGCCTCTGCTTGCATTGCTTGCCACACCCACGGCCAGGAGCTTGTCCCTTGCGGCGCCTGCGGAATCCTGCGGAAGAAGTACCAGTCACGGATGGCGCCCCGGGGTGCCCACAAGCTGTAAAGCACATCATATCAACACATCGTGTAACACCCGTAGCATTGACACCTCCAGCATCTTCTCAGTTCAGGGTTGGGTTGGTGAGCGAAGAGTTTTTGAGGGTTAGTTTAGGGTGTTTAGGATCGTTTAGAGTGGGCTCAGGGTTGGTTTAGGGTGGGCCTAGGGTTGGCTCAGGGCTGCGCAGGCCTTTGCCCCTTCCAAGCGTCATTCCTGGATTTTACCTCCCTCTCCTCAACGCCCCCGGCAAGGGAACCAGCATCAATGAGGATGTTAATAACCAACCAAGTGATTGTGCAAGGCATTGAAACCACAATTTTGGGATGCTCATGCCACGAAACACTGAAACAATCGGCCCAATATACTTGACAACCCCGGCGGTACAAGAAGTCTATACAAACAAGGAAACCTCAGATTGTGACAATTTCCGAAAAGTTGCCCTTTGCAAAAGGGGTGTTACCTGCCTAGTAACCTACCTGGCAATCAGCCCAACCCACGGAACGCTTGCCAAGTATCATGAAGACTTGGAATGCCATAGACATCATCACTACGTGGCCCAGAAAGAGCAATGGCCGTCCTCAGCGTCCATGCAAGCGGCGATGGCCCCTTACCTTTTTCGGGAAATCAAGAAACCCCCAAAGAGGACAAAATGAGCTTCCCAAAGGGGGTCAAAAGGCGAACCTGGCAAAGCACTGGCGCTGGGTTAGAAGCTTGAAAGTGACAACACGCCTCCTGGTGATGCGGGTTGGCCAGCGACAAGGGACAGTTCAGGGAAATTAGCAGGTGAGGCTGCGGGATCAAGCTGGAACTTCTGTCCGCCCGACATGAGAGACGCTGCCCAGCAGCCAATCATAAAGAAGTTCAGCAGCAGGACGCTCAAGCATGACAAGAAGATCATGCACTCCGGCCTGCGAAAGTTTTGGTGACATGTTCCGACAAGAGCTGCTCAGAATCACACATTGCACAATGTGGGAAAGGCTCCGAGCGAAACAACGTAGCAACACGATTTGCAGTTTTCGCCCCACTGGCTGTAAAAGCAGAATGGCCAAAAACGCTGCGTCAAGCCCAGACTATGGCATAGACCTGGCATCGACGCCTTTCTGAGGGAAACAACTCTTGGCTTATTTGTCTTTTAATTGTCGTGTATCGTGCAGCGCTGCCGGCGCTGCTTCGGAACCTTTTGATCAACTGCCCACTCTACAAGTGCCCAGCCTGTAGTCTGCTGGCCCCTCCTCAGATGCCAAATGCCAAGCCAAAGAAGCTACTGGCCTGCCACAAGTGGAGCTGATTCATTGGCCTCCCAAAATCAAAATAGGGCCTGAACCTTAGGACATGCCTTTGCTAACCAGGGTTCAAGTTCTCAGTTTTCGAACCCAACATCGCGCCACAAATCAAAACCGCCAAGCGCTAGGCAGGCCAAGTGGCCTCTTTCTCTTCCTCCGCCTTGGGGAGGAAAGGCTCCTTCTCCTTTAGGAGCGACTGGGGGAAGATCTTGTTCGAGAACTCCTC